GAACCAAGGTATAAATCTCTTTTTTTTCTTTTTGTATTCGAATCTAATTTTTTCGATCTATTTTCCTCTTTTTGTTCTTAGTATTTTTCTAGTTCAAATGTATTTTTTTCCACCAAATGCTCCTCAGTTTTCTCTATCTTTTTTCTCTCTCAAAACCCCAAATTGTTCCCCTATTTTTGTTGTTGATGGTTGATTTTTATGGTTTGATTTGGGTAGGTTGAATGATGATATATCGGGGTAGGGTTATGGGCTTCTGATCATGATAAGTTGAATCTTGAATTTTTGGGATTTAGGGTATGGGTTTCTGACTTGGTATGTTTATTTATTGTTAATGACAATTGGTTTCACTGTATGGTCGATTTTGAACCCAACGGCGGCTCGGGATGGCTCTCGGCGGCTCACGCGTGAGGGTAGAGCTGAAGATGCGAGCTGGCGACGGCTGGCAGCAAAACATGAGCTAGGGTTTCAAACCTAATTGCACTGGGTCAGGTCGGATTCGAGTCAGACTCCAGTTTCAGTTAAGCTTCGGGTTGCTTCGGGTCCACGGGTCTGGTCTGGATCCGGGTCTTGGTGGGCTGCTGGAGCTGAAGTATAAATCCTGATGAGTTTTCCATATAGGTTATGGCATTAGGCCACTGTTTGAGCTTCTTGTAATGGGCTTCAGGTGAGTTGTAAGTTGGTGTTGTAATTGGACCACATTTAGCCTGCACCAAATTGTAAACAAAATAACATTAATAATAATAATAATAATAATAATAATAATAATAATCACCCTTGTGTAAGTGATGAAAGCTCTCACGTTTGTTTCAAAACAAGGAAAGTTCAATTGAAAAGATGAGTTTTTTACAAAAGGGTATTGATTTTCTCAGTGAATCAAGATCTTCCCCAAGAACTCACCCATAGCTACGTTTGTGAGAATCCTAAAGATTTTCCTGAAAATCTTTCAGAGGGAATGAAGTTGTTGATTCCGGGAATTCGAACCAGGATGAGAAATGGGTTGAAAGGGTTTCTGGAATTCGAGTGAAATCAAAGGGGTTTCATCTAGACAGCAAAGAAACCAAATCAATAACCCTAACCCCAAAAGACCAAAATTTGAGTGAGAAAGAGAAACCCAAATCGAAAAAAGGGAGCAACAGGTTCTCATCTAGCTACTTTCTATGTAAAACCAGGAAAGTTTGAAGCTTTTTCCATGGAGCTTTTACTGATATTTTGTCTTTCATGTAGTTTGTTTCTCTCATGCAACTCTCAACTGCAAACATCTCAAAGCCAAATCCTCCTTCAGCTAAAGGAGCATTTGGAGTACCCGAAGCAACTCAAGACATGGTACGATAGAAAAACAGACTTCTGTTCTTCATCACCCTCTGCAAATCTGAACATCTCGTGTGAGAAGGGGGAAGAAAAAGGGTAGGGGGAAGAAAAAGGGGAAGAAAGGGAAAGAAATCATTTTTTTTCATTTTATTTTTCATTTTAATTAATTTATTATTTTAAGAAATTATTTTTTAATATTAAAAACATGTTACGTCACATTTTTTATGGGTTAATGGTTAAAATTAACGGTTCGTCATAATTTTGACTCATACTGAATTACGAAATGAAACGTTATGCACCAAATTAGAATGAAATAAATGTTATGCAATAAACTGAAACTAAATGCATACGTTGAACACTTTTTTATATTTAAGCCTAATATTTATTCTAAAAGTTCAATCATTTGATAATAAACGTTTACATAATCTACCATCATTTGATGGTATTAACTTTAATGTTGATTGTTGATCATTTATATTATTTATTATCTTTTTATATTCTTTTGGTTTTAGATTTTCAATAATTATGTTTATATTACACATTTTCATCTACTTTTAGGTTATATTTTCTTCCACCTTTTAGAATGTTCTTTAGACGTTTAGTCATTGTTTTCAATTATCTTTTCTTAAGGATTAATTTGATATTGTCATGACTAATAAAAATAGTGTTTATCCGGTATATTGTTGATTTTTCTTGCTTTAGACTCTCAAATTGAATTTGAATATTCGTTATGCGTTCGTAGATAACTTTTGACAATAAACGTTTAAATAATCTATCATCATTCGATGGTATTAACTTTAATGATGATTGTCGACCACTTGTATTATTTAATATCTTTTTATATTCTTTTGGTTTTTAGATTTTCAATAAGTATTGTTTATATTGCACGTTTTCATTTACCTTTATAGTACGTTTTCGTCTACTTTTATGATATATTTTCTTTTATCTTTTATCATGTTTTTCAGTTGTTTGGTCGTTGTTTTCAATTATCTTCTCCTAAGGGTTGATTTGACATTATCATGACTAATAGAGATAATGTTTATCCGGTATATTGTTGATCGTTCTTGCTTTGGACTCTCAAATTGGATTTGAATACTCGTTATGCATTCGTGGATAACTTTTCACGTCGCTTGAGTCTGATTTACGATTTATCGGTGGTCTTTCAGTAGCTTGATTCTCTTTTGTGGTTTATTTGTTGGTGTGATAAGACCTGTTTGTATATATATTTGTTCGAGTTTTTTAGTTAAATTTTAATTTTTCCTTGTCTAATCTTTTTGTGATCTTAAGTTGCTAATTTTGTTTTAACAATTATAAAAAAAAGTTCTAATCACATGGTTAATTTATGATTATGATTGTAAATCTCATTATAATTCAATATATTCCCTATTTTAAGTAAAATTATAACATTTGTAATAAAAAAAAGAAAAATATCTTATGGTGTGGTCGAATTCAAATATCAATTTCTACATCTTATATGATTTTTTTTATTAAGCTAATATGATTATAAAGTCTTATATGTTCTAACACATTATATGATTTTAAAGACGAGTATAATCTGTTTAACAAATCAATTTCTAGACATCATATTTGCTACTCATTTTGACCACTTGATTTTTAAAATTTTAATTTTTAGTCCTTCATCGATAAATAGATAAGTGAAGATGACTAGTACTCTATTTTACTTGGTATGATTATATATCTAGTTCTTTGTATGTATATATTATATTAATTATATTTTCAAATAAATTTATAAATTTAATTTTTTATAATTACAAAGTAAATTAATTTAGTCCTAGTCACAATACTACTTATCTATTTTAAATAATTTGACAAATTAATTTAACTTCTTTAATTTTTTTAAAGATTTAATCATTATAATTTTAAAATCTTAATAATTGAGATTAAATTTATTTAATTGAAATAAAATTAGGATTAAATTGATAGAATGTATGAATATTAATTATCAACTGTGTAATTATATCAATTTTATTAATTGTAGCATCAACACTTCCGTTAAATGTTAACAATAAGTGGTCTTATTGAAACATTTAAAAAGTAAGATGGTCTAATTGAAAAATTGAACAATTGATAGTCAAAGTGAAAAGATGCAATAGTTAAATGGTCAAATGGGCAGTTTACCTAAATAAAAGGATAATATTATATATTTAAGGATAAACTATATCATACATCACAAATTAATTTTTTTACTCTTATTTTGATCACAAAATTTTAAAAATATTCAATTTACTCTCTCAACTTTCAAATTAATCGTGTTTTGGTCAACATGCCATTAAATAATTAAATGTGTTATAATGGAAAACAACGTCAAAATGTTGTAGTTTTGAAATTATACATAAAATTAAATTTAGACCAAAGTAATCTCAATTTGATCTAAATAAAAAGTCAATTTTCTTTTATAATCATTTTTTTCATTTTCTCTCTCTAATTTGAACCAATTCAGATTCAAGCCATCATGTTAATCATCGTTCTAACCACCATAACCACAGTCACGGGATTCTAATGACCCTAAAAATTTCACATTGAATACGTCTCATCATTCTAAACATGAATCTAATATTCATTTGACGGAAAAACATGCAAAACTTCGTAAATTTAACATTAATATCAATCTCATTGTATGTCACCATGCTCCTTCCATCATCATTTGTAATGATACAATTACAAAATGAAAGTTTTTCCTTTCCCTATTGAATATTCACTTCAAATCTTCATAAAATCAAACTAAAAGTTATAAAAATCCAAATCAAAGTCCGAATCAAATAATTTTCATTTGTATCCCTTTCATCGTTAAATCATTATGCGATTGAGATATATTATTCTTGACTACCTATATTTTTTCTTACTCTTGCGATCTTCAATCATAGCTCCAAATTTACTAAAACTTAATAACTCGTTAAAAAATTTTCATGTGTTTTACTTGTTAGTTTTACTCTTGTTCTTATTTTGGTTGTATGTGATTGTTGTGTTTTAATTTAGAATATTTTTAGATTAATAATCTTTGTGGGAATACTTGATAATTGGAGAAAAAAATTGGGTTGAGTTATGACAATAGAGGTATTCAAAATAATGGTAGTGTAGGCTTCAGTTGAAGGACTATAGTGTCTTTCCGGGGACTACCGACATTTCATGAGGGTGGAATCAGGCTTGTAAGCCATATTATTTGAAGCCATTGTCCTCTCTTATATGAATGGGAGTTATGTTGTACTGTTTCTTTCTTAATGGTTACTGGCTTCCTCCTATACCATTGTGTCCTACTGGTATTAATCCTAGATGCAGAAAGCTTATGACTACTCCTGGACGGTAAAAAGAAAGATCGACTGTGAATTATCTTCCTGAGAACTCGTCTTAGTGTTCGTTCCGTGAGCACACCTACAAACAAGGGAGATGGCAGTGTAGGCTTCAGTTGAAGGACTATAATGTGAAAGTGGTGATTGAATCTATTATAGTTATGTGAAGAGTGAAATAAATATGAAGTATTTTTTTTACGTTTACATGACAGTTCAACAATTAATAAAAATGGCATGTCATCATTGTTGGAGAAAAATGATAGAGTGACAAAAAAAATTAATGTTCAAATTTGAGTGAGTAAATTAGAAGATTTAAATTATAATGACTAAAATAGGAATGATAAGATAATTAAGTGGTGAATTCTGTAGTTTGCCCTATATGAAAGCCATAAGGAAATAAATAAATAATCCCCTTAGGGTTTCACTTGGTCTATCTCTTGGAGGTCTTCCGAATCCATTCTCTTCGTCTATCAAATATGATGCAACAACCACCACCCGGAGGCGTAGCTCCGCCGCCTTCCATGACAAACGATCCGTCTCAAACCCAGCAGTACCAGCAACAACCGCAGTCGCAGCCTTGGATGATGATGCCTCAACAACAGCAGCCCGGTCAGCCGGTTCCTCCACCTGCGGGTTGGAATACGCAACAGGTCCCTCCGCCCTCTCAGATGCAACAGTACACCGCCGGTTCCCCAGCTACCGGATCCGGCGAAATTCGGTCTCTCTGGATCGGTGATCTTCAGCCATGGATGGATGAGAATTACCTCATCAGCATCTTCGCTCAAACAGGAGAGGTAATTAGATTAGAAAAAAATATTACTTTTTATGTTGAGAATCATGATTAAAAGTGGAAAAATATATTGTAGTCTAATAATATCACCGGCAGAGTTTATATCGTTCTTTTTTCATAATTAAAGGGTATTAATAATTTCTTTATATAAACGAATTTCTGTTTCTTTTGGGTTTAAGGTAATAGTTACTGTCAAAATTAAACAAAGCTTAATCTTTTGGGTTCTTTTAGGTGGTTTCAACTAAGGTGATTAGGAATAAGCAAACGGGTCTGGCAGACGGATACGGATTTATCGAGTTCGTGTCACATGCAGCAGCTGAGAGGGTTTTGCAGTCGTATAATGGGTTGCCGATGCCAAATGCTGAGCAGAATTTTAGGATGAATTGGGCTGCACTTGGATATGGAGAAAAGAGGCAAGAAGAGGGTCCTGAATACACAATCTTCGTTGGGGATTTAGCTGCAGATGTTTCTGATTACATGTTACAAGAGACTTTTAAAGCTGTGTACCCATCTGTTAAGGGTGCCAAAGTGGTTACTGATAGGACTACGGGCTGGTCTAAAGGTTATGGCTTTGTGAAGTTTGGTGATGAAAGTGAGCAGATTCGAGCCATGACTGAAATGAATGGGATGTATTGTTCTACCAGGGCAATGCGGATTGGACCGGCTGCTAGTAAGAAGCCTGTCACTGATCAGCAGTATCCGAAAGGTAGACTCTTGTGGTTTATGTTAAGTTATACTTTATCTTGGTTTCTATATGAAGTTTGCTTGGTTGAGTATAGTATTTATTTGCCATGATTTGCGCCCAAGTAATTTTATTTGACAAGTTGAATGCTAGTTGGTGATTGTGTTCTTCTTTATTGTTTTTAATTGTCTGAGGTGGACCTGTTACAGTCTTCTTAAAATTCAAATTCTTTCAGTTACGACCTGAAGATTGGTGGAATTTATACAAAGTCGTTTCCTTCCAGTTTGCCTTTTTAAACCTGGCACTTTTAATTATATTAAAAGTTAAAACATGCAAAAACTTATATAAAACTCATGTTTTCTTAAAGCAGGACATCAAGAGGCTCTCATTTTGGGGGGCCTGGAACTGATATCAGCTGAAATGATTCCACTTTAACCCGTGGCCTCATTTTAGGTCAGTTACTTTGTTTATGTCGGATGCTTCATTTTCCTCGTGGCAGTATTTGTGCTACGTTTGGAAATTTCTTTTCCAGTTCCATTTTAAGTATTCCAATCAATTTCATTTTGTTCCTTTTTCCAACATGTTTCCTTTAATCTTTATTTACTTTACAAGTCCGGAAATTTTGTTTTTATTCGTTCTGGATCGGTTCCCTTTCAATACTTGCATACATTTACACACTCCATTTTTTATCCTTTATATTCAAGCTTCATTACATGAAAGTAGGTGAAGCAGCTATGGTGAAATTTATATGCATATTTTATTACACCATTCTGTTAATGAACTTTGGTGCTAGTTTTGTTCTATCGCTTTGAAATATGTGCTTCTTTTTAAAATATAATATCTGTTTATTCTTCATTCTATGCTCCGCTGCATGTGAGGAAAAACTGAGGCTGGAAAGAAACCTGGAACTTGTAGTTAAAAGCATTTCCGGTTGCGGGATATAAGTTTAACCACAATGGAAATGGATTACTTGGCCTTCTTTATTGCTGTAGCGAAAATAATGAATATCTGGTTGCAGATGAATATATCCTTATTTATCTTGCATTTTGAAGACATTTTTTTCCTACTTTTCATTTGAGGTTGCAAGTCACTTCAAGTTAAAAAAAAATCCGTAGTTTTCCAAAAACACATGCTTTGCCTTGTCTGAGAATTTATGGTATCACTAAAAAATTCAAAATATGTTTGGAAGGTGGTTCTTTATACTCATAAGTAATATTTGAAGTTGAACATGTGAATCATTCAATTTAAGGATCAGCAACTCCTTCTGTCCTCTTCCCCTTTCCCTTCCAAAAAATTGTGAAAGGAAAGAAAAAAGAGAAGGAAATACTTCATGTCAAGTGAGGACAAAAAGATGAGTTACTCTTTTCACCCTATTCAAGGTGTTGGTGTTACAAAAGAACCCTTACTGATTCCCTGAGTTTAGTGTAATGAATGATTTCCTGGAGTTATTTAATCTCTGGTAGAGGGAAGCCTTGATTTAACCCAAAAGATTTTTATGTTTGCCTTTGTTTCAGTGATATATAGATGGTGGTTGTACATTTATGTTCTTTTCATGCCACCGAAGGAATTGTTTTTAGCTGCTTATTTTGAAATTTGTTGTTATATTTTTGTATGTGATGTTAATGTTTTGTTTTTTAAAACAATTTTCAATTCGAGTTTAGAGATGTAAGAATGCTATAGCTGGAAATTTGTTACGTGTTTGTGAATAGGTTTGTAGCGTTCATTGTTAGTTTGTTACATGGAAATATTTACTTTTAGAAGATGTACTGTATTAGTTTCAAATATTTTGCAATATGAAAACCTTAAATCAGGGATAGTTATCTCTTATCATCTATTCTACAGTAATTTACATGTATTTGTAATTTGCAGCTTCTTACCAGACTACCCAAGGAAATCCTGGCGAGAGTGATCCGAATAATACAACAGTGGGTAGCGTTGACTTTATATTAACATATTTAATTTCTTGGTATGGCCAACTGACCCTCTTACAAGCTTAAATGCAGATATTTGTCGGTGGCTTGGATCCCAGTGTTTCTGAAGACCAGCTAAAACAAATATTTAGCCAGCTTGGTGAGGTAGTTCATGTAAAAATTCCTGCTAACAAGCATTGTGGTTTCGTTCAGTATGCTAGCAGGTAACTTTTCTCATATTTCTTTTGGCACGTGAAAAATTATTGCGTCGTATTAACACATTCTGCAATATAATGCACTTCAGGACTAGTGCTGAACAAGCATTATCCGTTTTGAACGGTACTGTTTTAGGAGGAAGAAATGTGAGGCTTTCATGGGGACGTAGCCCTTCAAGCAAACAGGTATTGTTTTTAAAACCATTGTATTCTGTATTTAGAGATATATTTCTGTAAAAACTAAGGGATTGTATTCGAATTTCAGGCTCAACCTGATCAGGCTCAATGGAACAGTGGATACTATGGATATCCTCAAGGATATGAAGCATATGGATATGCACCTCCTCCCCAAGATCCTAACATGTACTATGGTGGCTATCCCGGATATGGCAATTACCAGCAGCCAGGGGCTTACCAACAACGACCACAGGTAAAAGAAATTCTAAAGCAAAAGTATTTGCAAGCGTGCTCTCTTGTTATCATCTTTAACTCTGTTACTTCTGGCTGCTCACTTGTTTGACGATGCATGTGTTCATGCTGAATGTTTTTTTCCCTTTTGTATTTTGCAGTAAGCTGCGCTCCTGTGGCTCGAAGCTCGGCCTGGAGTAGTTTAGGTGTTGGCTTGATCCTAGACATGTTTCATTGATTGCTGTACAATTTGTGGGTTTGGGTTTTCGTAGAGGTTCCATGTTTCTTCATCTGGTCCGTTTTAATGGCTTCACTTTTCTCGGCTTCTTTTCTTTTGTGCCCCTCTTCCTTTTGAATCATACTCTTGCTTTTCAATGGTTATCAACTTCTTGTTATGCTCGTATTATTCGTCGATTTACTTGACAGTGATGTTGATGCGTATAATTTTCAAAATTTTCGAGTTTGCTTGTACAATGCGAAAAGCTTCATGGCTGGAGTCATGACCTGTGAGTAGAGGTGTTAAAAAAATACCTGACCCGGTTGACCCAGCCCGTTAACTCATCGACCCGAACCTAAAAAGACTAGGTAATTCTTTAAAAAAATTACCTGATCGGGCCAGGTATTCAACTTGTGATTTTTTTGGTGTAGTTAGGCCGGGTCTGGGCTGAATTTTTTATAACTGGGTATTTGACCCGGCCCGGTAGTTTTAATATATATATATATATATATATTGGTTTAAATTATATTTTTATATTAGGTTCTTAATATTTTTATTTTCGTATTCAATTTAAATTCCTAAATTCTTTCTAGTTTTGTATTATGTAATTTTAACTTAAAAGTTTTAAGTTTTAATTTTCTTAAAAAATTATTAATTTGTTAATATGGGATTTAAAGAAAAAAAGTATGATCCATTTTAATATTTTTAATGTTTTCATTTGAATATATATATATATATATATATATATATATATATATATATATATATATATATATATATATAACACTTTTAAATCACTAATTGTGTATAAAGATGGTGTATTATGAACTTTTAAATTTTATTTATTTCTTATGTGATTATTTTTTAAAAAGATAAAATAAATAAATAAATAAATAAATATATATATATATATATATATATATATATATGAAATGGGTATCCGTGACCTGAAAATATGAATACTTAAGTTTTAAATGTACTTGGTAATTGGGTACTCGTACTTAACAAGTTGGGTTACAAGCTGATAAATATATTATATGGTGTTTTGGATATTCGAAAATAAGGGTATTTGGATTTCAACCTTACCCGTGAATAGGAAGAATTTTAGGTTTTTTAGCCCAATACCCTAGGGGTAAAATATTTAGGGCATTGGGCCTACCCAAACTTTATTTAGTAAAATATCATTAAAAATACAGTAAGTGAAATAGGAGAGAGAACAAAATTAAATGTGTGACATGTTTTATCATTAAATTAAACTACGTGAGCACCTCGTTACTGAGTAAACGGTCGAGTGACTAAAAAAGTTTAATGTCTAAAGTTCAGTGAGTAAATTGAAAAAATTGAAAGTACGGTGAGTAAAATAGGAAAGAAGGTAAAATTCAATAAATAAGAGTGTAATTTACCCAAGGAAAAAAATAGAAACAAGATTTTGATTGGGCTTTGCATGTAGCATATATAATAAGTTTTTTCACCCAATAAGACAAACGAGGAAATTAATTGAGAAAATATGGTAACTAGAAATTTATTTTGAGATCTACAGTATTTTCTATATTCATGGAGTTCGTCATGTGAAGGTAAAAAAAATTTTATTCAAACTCGTCACGTTGAGGTGATGAATTCTAATAAAATATAATTTTTTATTAAATTTTATCACATCGGGATAAAAAATTAAATAAAATATTTTTTATTAAAACTCATTATTCCGACATGATAACTTCTAAGTCATTGTAGTAAATATCGTAGATCTCTAAATAAACTTCTATATATTATTAATTAATTAATTAAACGGTTTACCCTATTGTGCCAAAAAAAACCTATATGATAAGTAAGAAAACTTAAATAAATCCCAGCCTTGGCCTAGCTCCTACTTCACATGGGTATTGTGAGGCTAGCCCATTCCCAAACAAACCTTAGCCCTTCACAAATCACAATATGCAAATGGATTTAATATGTTGCATTGCTTTTTAGGTATTGCCTTTAATTATATTATCAACCAAAAGACCCATAGCTTACATTATTGTAGTCATTAACTATTTGCCTAAAAAGCTAACGTGATTAGGCACTGCATGACTTAAATAAGATTACCCTTTCCATGAATAACCAATATGGGACTATAGCTATGTTTAAAAGTACATGTATCAAAAGGGTTAAGAAAACTCAATCAAACAATTAAGAAAAAGAGATGCCGACAAACAACATTGTCCACGATGAAGAATCAACATCATAAACACCAGCATAGAATCAAGTCTCATAAGCCTTGTTAGGTTACATAACGAAGTTTAGAATTTTATTAACTCAAATATGTGTCGCATTTAATACATTGATTTCATCAACCTAGAAGGAATCTTATACATGTCTAAGTGTTGGAAGGTGGACACAATTTATACATTCTCATTTATTGTGGACACCTAAAGAAGAATCAATGGGTATTAATAAATTTGTTCCAAATCCAAAATGTATTAGTTGGAAATTTAATTTTGAAATTCAAATCTTGATATACACAATTAAAAGATTACTTGTATTAATTTGATTATAAATATATTATAAATATTGATTTTTAAACAAATAAATCAAGTTGAATTGTACTTCTTACGATTACTGTTTGAGATTTGTGGATTTTTCTCTTAATAATGTTGCAGTAACTTTCTTATTGAGAATGTGATATCTCTTAATATTGTATCAAACATTTTATTAATATTATTATATTTTATTTTAATTCATAATTTCTAAAATCATATAAAATATTTTAATCTAGTTCGATCTATAGTGATTCTCCTATAATATAATTTTATATATAATTATATAAATATAAGTTTTTATAGAAGTAACTAATTTTATTTAAAATAAGAAATATATCAAATTACAATAGAAGTTTACAATCACAGTCGTAAATTAAGCACATAATTAAGAAAATTTCCTACAACCATCGAAACAAAACTAGCAACTTAAGATCACATAAATACAAGGACATATTAAATGCAACCAAGAAACTTGAACAAATATAGATACAAAAATATCTGATCACATCGGCAAACGAACCACAAAAGGGGATCAAGCTATTGAAAGATCGTCGTCAAACTGCAAATCAGACTCGAGCGACGTGAAAAGCTATCCACGAACACAAATCGGGTATCCAAATCCAATCCGAGGGTCCAAGATAGGGAAGATCTCTGAGATATTAGATAAGTGTCATCTTGACCAGTCGTGATGATGTCAAATCAACCCTTTGAAAAAAGATAAATGAAAAAAGGGCCAAATAATCGAAAAACATGTTAAAAAACATAAAAAAGTGTCGTAAAATCAGATGAAAACGTGCAACAAAGAAAGACTTGTTGAAATTCAGAAGACAAAAGAAAATAAAGATATGATATAAAAAAAAGACAATAAAAAATACCGACGGTCGACAATCAACATTAAAAATTAATATTGCCGTCGACTAACTTAACTTGATCAAATTGATGATGATAATAATAATTAGATATCTATACTTTTCCTTTGTTGCAGTCCCACACTAATCATATTATTCATTGGGACAGTGAATTACAAAACATGTAAGCCACACATATCAATAGGGCAACAATTCATGGACCCTCTTCATCCTTGGTGCATTTAATTACTCGTTTATTTCAATGTTGTCCTCTTACAAATATTAAAAAGATCATTTTCACATTAATTGTCTATTTTAAGATTTTCATTCTTATTGGCTAGGAAAATCATGTCCTAATGGCTTGTTTGGTACAGACTTCAACCTATAATATCTCTAATTGTTGCATTGAATTTAATTTTAATCTTTTATAAACATAAGATTATATATACTTAAATATTTAATATCTTCATATTTATGAGAAGAATGAACGATCAATCACTATACTGCAGTCGTTAGTGCTCGAACTTATAACATGTAGAAATAACAACGATTCTTTTAATCACTGATGTAAGTTGGTTTGTGCGAGATGAATGAATTTAGATAGTAAAAACATTATATAAAAATAAATATTCCCATATAATTATTAAAAAAAATCTATTAATATCTCCTTAGATTAATCTAATTATGAAAGCAATAATATATGGTTAGAAATTAAAATTGACACCGTTGTAATAAGCATCACATTTGAATCTTGGCATTTAATGGACCAAGAAATCACATGAAACTTGATACATGCAAAACAAAGAGATTAAAGTTTAGATTTTGAAACTCTTTAAGATATAAAGTCAATATGAGCAAAAGAAACTGATACCTCTTCCTAACATTTTTAATCCTTTAATATTTATACATCGTCACGAGTTAACAAGAATAACAATAAAGTATAATTTTAGCATAATAAGACACTTTCTTAGAATCTCTACTATAGTAGTCACATTTAATCCCTTGTTTATGCAGAAAATCATCGTTGAGAGACTTACCCACCAAGTCCAGGTGTGCGACCCGTGTCGGTCTAGATTAATCAAGGAACCTTAAAATTAGAAGACAAAAAAAACAAATTGACCTACAAATATGGGATTAAGAACAGCTTATATCCCCCACAAAATCTCATGGAACTCCACAATTACTACAATATTGAAGAAAACCCATAACTTTCATTGTCTAATTGTTTGTCTTTTGGGTAGCCATAATCTTTTATTATACCAAAAATATATGTTAGACAAGAATTTTACCTAAATATATGCAATTGGAGTGTTAGCCGCTAACAATGGGACAATTTTCGAGTAGTTTTAAGGGTTAATTGTCGTTTGAGATTTGCAGTAGTTAAGAACTGTCTAAACATACATAGAGATGGAATCATCTAAACTAAACAAATACTTATACGTCGAGGGATCGACTAATTGTGTGACCAATAATAGCATGCTCATATCAAAAAGTCTTTCAAATAAATATTACTTCATAACCATTCTAAATTGATAAACTTATAGTAATTTTGAATATGATAATATAAAATATCTTCTATTGAAAGATACTCACAATAAACCATTATTTTATTCCATTTTATTGGTGTTGGCTCGGACATCAAGCCAAGCCATGTGGGTACAATTGGTAAATTTATTTAAAAACCCCAAAGTAAATAATTATTTAAAGAAATAGGGTCCTCTAGAGATTATTTGGAAAAATAACTCTTAAATCATCCACGTTGGATGACCTCGCGGCCTAAAACCACGTGTGTTAAGTCCTCGTACCCTCCAACATGTGAGATTCGTCCGACGTGGGCGCACTCTCCAGGTAATCCAATAAAATAATTGGATAAAATGACCTCGCGTATTTCGAAGCGCGAGGTACCCTTTATGATCCAAAATATTACAAGGTTTGTGGGAGACCTCGCGACCTGCAAATCGCGATATTCTTTCCAAATTCCCTAACCCAATTTAGTGTCCATAGCCTTGTTCGGAAACTATTTCTAAGTAGGAAACTGATTTTTTTTTTATAAATTTTTAATTATAAACGCGTAGTGTTGCAATTTATCGACTATAATTTCGTCAAATATAATACATTTTAAGCGGGGTAAA